TAACAATGTCTTTCGCGCATGCACTGTTTGCGTGTTAGCAACTCATGACGCTTCCGATCGGATTTCCTCTTTACGAAATTTATGGATGCCCCAATCCAACAAATTCATTTTCACTTCAGCATAGCCGTAATTCCAGACATTTCGGGCGTGCACTGTTAGCATTTGCAAAGAGTTAGAAAATGTGATTTGGCATGACATGGATGCATTTACAGAATGACACAAGAAGTCAGTGTGTAGGTTGGTTCAACAAAATTCCTCCTGTCTCTAATCCGTTGATGACTGTAGCGAACGGTCAGTCCCAGGTCATAGTGCAGTTGAATGGCGTGTTGGTTATGGCACAGTACAATACAAGAGATACTGTGTCAGCCGTGTCAGCCGGTCCACATCGACCCAACGCAGCGGGTATTGTCCGGCTGCTGGAACCGGCTTCAAATACGTGACCTTTCTTCGGGGGTCGTTGGTCTGCCGAGCACGGACGATCTGCAAAGCGTTACACCCATCAACTAAACGTTACGCCGAGGAGTTCCAGCAACCAGCGAATAAAGAAAAGCGTATTAGAAAAGCGTAAAAAAGCTTACGTTGTCTCTAAGATCACTTTACGCTTTTTTTAATATCACTAGATCACCGGCATTACGTCGACCGTCACGAGCAACGACGGATAAATAAACCTAAGAAAACTTCAAAATCTGAATGAATTAAGAAGCAGAAGGATTCTAAAAATTCAAGAAACGCTAAGAAAAATCTTAAAGCATATCGAAGTTTTTAATCCAGAAAAGTCAAGAAACGAAGAAAGTCAAACCCTAAGAAATCCAAAAACCTTAAAGTCATCAAGAAACTCAAAGAAAACTTAAGAACCCAAAGATTACTCGAAAATGCAAGAAAACCAGGAAATCTTTACGAGCTAGGAACCTTGACTATTAAAATAATAAAAAGCATTAATGACGCCAAATCCTAAGGAAACCAATAAACCTTTAGAAAGCCGAAGAACCTTGAGAATCCAAAGGGAAAGCAAAAAATACACTAACTCTAATTCGTGGGTCGACATCGTGTTTGTTCGACTTAGTAACGTGCCGAGAAATTTCCATCCACAAGGTGGCGCTTCACTCTACTGATATGTCGCTTTACCTTCCGCAGCAATTCCCGAAGCCTGGCAGAGTGTTGTACCGTCTTATTGATAACACAGACCACTGTCTCCTTCTCCTCTTCATCCAGTCGCGGACAGCCTCTGCTAATCAAGCCCCACCAGTCTGCGACCCGCAGACGCCGGGGGCTGCGCATCCGTCCGAACGGGATGCGGTTGGTGATGGGCAGCCAGCCATCCGCCACCGACCGGAAGATTGTGCAGGTGAAGTTCTTCACGGTAAGGGTACGACACACCGCCGCCAGCGAGTCAAATACGCGGTGGAGCGTGAGAATGTAATCCACGGCGCTATCTTCCAGAAAATGCACGCAGTTGATGTCCTTCAACACCAGATCCTCCGGAAACCACTCAGGGGCTCCTTGGATCAGTGCGTGCAGAAAACGCCCATCACACAAGGGCAGATGATTCAGCCGCAGTTTCTCGGTGTCATCACCCTGAACTGGCGAACCCACAATAGCCACGGTGCGAGTACTCCAGCAGCGGTGTGCACACGCCACCGCCATGTACACATCGTCCACGGGACGGACTAAATCGCGTTTGGATGGGAACTGGATGTACAGCAGCTTTTTGACGGCGGCCGATGTGAGGAGGCGGTTCCAGATGGCGCACACCGCCCGCAGCCGGTACTGGTCAACGGTCGGCAGGCACTGCAAGGTCTCCGTCAGAATCTGCACGGGCAGAACGCGGAATGCGCGTCCATCATCCATAACCGGCGCAGGCAGCACCACCTCCAGCACGGGCGCCGTGGAGCGGCCGTCGCAGGCCAAAAAAAACATTCCACCATTTCACTGAGGCCGGGCAACTGTCTTCAGAACTTGGCTTTGTCCCGTTTGTGGAAGTGGCGCTTGATGTAGCCGGAGTCACGGGTCGCAGGACGGATTTACTCTGCAATAGTGAACTGCATGAAGGTAACCCACTCAATCGTGTGCGGTGCTAGCGCAACGTAGTTCATTGAAAAGTGTACATAAAACAGACGATTCTCTGCAATGAAGTTTTCCATATGGCGCAGTTCTATCAATTCGAGCAGTCCGTGGACCAAGGAAGCCATTGGGGCCGGGCATCGAATACGGTCGCGCGGAACGACGGTTCGGACGTCCCCGCCGGGCAAATGGATGGTGACCTAGGCGAACTGATTGTGCTGCCGGTCATACACGAGAACGGTAGCCGCGTGCCATTTCCACGGTTCCGAGGGACTGTGCTGCATCAACACCTCCACGGGATCCGCGATCCCTACAACCATCCACGCAGTATTGACTTTCTATGCACTGTTTCGATACACTGCTTCCACTTGTAATAATAAATTCAGATTAAATTACAAGGAACCATTCTAGGCCTCGAATGCGCTTTTCTGAAACCAGACTGTGCCATCACGAAGCATAACGAGTGAAGAATTGCGACTTATAATGGCGATGACATGGTGCGAACAGAGATAAAGAATATAGTCACCAAGAAGAGTCGCTAAGGAGATTTTTACAAAGGGGTACCTTGATCGCCATAGAATCGGGAGCGCATAGGTCGAGGATAGGTGTAAGCGCTGACAGTCGCCCAGTACAAGAAAGCTTGATCCAGAGGGACCCACTCGTTCCTTCGATCCGCGCATCAAAAATCCACGAGCAGTCCGCTGCTGGACGCGGCAACTACCTTGCCGCACTGGAGCACTCCATCTCCTCCACGGACTTCCACAACAATAGTAAAATCATCACTAGTTTTCGCCATTGGTGGTTCCATTTAGCCACTGAATATGACCAGATTCACGAGTGTTGAACACTCGCAGTGCTCCTAACGGGAAACCTGCCGAAAAATAACTGGGAGGACGTCGTGGCGAAATTCTCAAGATACACTAGCACCGTGCGAAAAATTCGCCAGGACGACTGCTGTTAAGAAAGCAGAAAGGTGAGTATCGTATAAATCAGGAACCGGTAGACGATAGAACGCTATTAAAATTTACAGATCCGCGCCAACCAAAGCACCCGGATTTACAGTAGATGGCAATCGTACATAGCTGCAGAGCGGTTCATTCCTGTTAGCTTCTTCTTCTCGTTCGCTTCGGCCACGCAAACGAGTAAAACTTTGGTTGTGTTTGAAGTTTGAACGTGTTTTCACCGCGTGACGATTCGGAAATGTGAATTGCACGAATTACACAACTACTTAATCGAATACATGGATACACTGAACGTTCGTAGTGAATTTACAAAAATTTATTGTGTTTCATTCATATTACGTTTATTTTAGCATGCTTGATAAGATCGGTGCAGACATTCCGCCGTGCGCTGTTAGTAATAGAGGAAAGTTAGAAGATTCACGAACACATCGCTAGCCAGGCTGTACGCGACTGTGTCCTTCTTGTCGTAAAAAATCTGCAGCAAATAAATTAAATAAACTGCGAACTTTCAGGAGAAAAACAACGGGACCTAAGACAAGAAAGCGGGAGTTCCGATGCAAAAATAACAGAACAAACAGACGTTTTAAGCGCATGGTAATGATTCACCCGTTCACATTAGCGAAGCTAAAAACCGATTATTGCCGATTTTCCACAGACACCGTTTGAGTAGATCCATCCGCGTCTTCGAAAGTGATGGTAACCTCACGGTGTCGTGCAGCGAACTCTGAAACCAGGAACAACTGATCGGATCAACATGTCCAACTGCGAAAGTTTTCCGTTGGATTCTTCTAAGCTCCCACCACAACAGCTGGATGGTTTGGACTAATGCTTCTTCGCAATCCCACCACAACATAACCTTGACGATATTCTCAGTGCCCACTTGGAGTCTTGGACCTCGTAGGAAACTATCGGAAAAATATACATAAAACGCAAACGAATTAAAATTGTAACACAAAGAAAATCAAGGATATAAATGATGAAAAGGTTATATAAACCGATGTCGTGTTTACCGCTATTTTCATTGCCGATCACTTGCGCCGGCGCTCCGGTTCCGCGATTCACAATCACACATCCTCCGGATAAATTGCTGGTGCATTGACCGATAATATGGGCACTTCCGGCTTGTTACAGGAGACGTACGCAAAATCCGCATCAAACCTTACGCTTGAGCGGTCGCATACGTTTATCTTTGTCCTAAGCCGGTTTAGTCGCAAAACGATCAGCTGAACTGCGCTTCGGGCTCTGTTGACTCACGGTGACAGAGCGGTCCAGTTTCGTGATAACCGGACTGGAATGGCGGAATCATCCGGGAATTCAACATCGGAGCCGGTGATCATCATGTCGCACCGCTCCGCCAGCAATGATCTAGATCTAAAGCTGAGCTCCGCCGCGTGCGGCCACGCCACGGGTTCCGCGCAGGTAGAGATGGCAACGCTCAGCCGGATTCGTTTTCAGCGGCGGGGTGTGCCATGCCTGTGTTTGCCTTGTTGTTATATGATCCGCTTTAGCGGCACAGCGTCGATTGCCTAAGCGATAACTTGACACTAAGGTACAGCGTCCCAGAGTAAACATATACATATGACATCGGTTGCAAATTTCTAATCATATCAGAATGCGTACACCTTCTGCCGGTGTTGTATCGGCACTGATCCAAGTCCATTAAGTTTACCACGCTGGTGTTTTTTCCGTGTCTAAAGTTGTAACAATGTTTTTCCGCGCAGTGGCGCATGTACGCTTGTGCCTCAGCCGCTCAGGACCCTTCCGATCGGATTCCTCCAAGAACTTTATGGATGCCAGTCCAACAAATTATTTTCAGTTCAGTATAGCCTAAATTACATATATCTAGGGCGTACGCTGTTAGCATTGCGAAGCGTTAGAAGTTGTAGTATGACACGACATGAATGAATTACAGAATGATACAACAAGTTAGTGTGTAGGTTAGTTCAACGATTCCGCCTGTCTCTAATCCGTTGTTGCCTCCAGTGGAAAATTAGTCCCAGGTCATAATGCAGTTGAATGGCGTGTTGGTTATGGCACAGTACAGGAGATACTGCGTCATTCGTGTCAGCCGGTCCACATCGACCCAACGCAGCGGGTATTGTCCTGCTGCTGGAGCCGGCTTCAAATACGTGACCTTTCTTCGGGGGTCGTTGGTCTGCCGTGCACGGACGATCTGCGAATTGAAGCGTTACACCCATCAACTGACGCCGGGGAATTCCAGAAAACAGCGCGTAAAGAAAAGCGTATTAGAAAAAGCGTAAAAAATATTACGCTTTTTCTAACATCACTAGAGCACCGGCATTACGTCGACCTAGACTGTTCGAGCGCCATAGGGCCGATCTCCACGAAATCGACCGCCGCGAGGGCTAATAAGCCTCAGAAAATTTCGAAATCTGAGTGAAATTAGGAAGCTGAAGAAATCTTCCAGAAACTCAAGAAACGCTAAAAAAGGTCTGAAAACAAATCGAAATTCTTAATCCAGAAAAATCGAGAAACCAAAAGAAAGATAAAACCCTAAGAAATCCAGAGAAACCCAAGAAATCATCAAGTCATCAAGAAGCTCAAACAAAACCAAAGAGCACAAAAACCGAAGAAAACTTAGAAATGCAAGAAAACCAAGAAACCTAAGAAATCCTGCCAATCAAGGAACCCTAAGAAAGCTCTTTAAAAAAAATTCAATCGAAAAACATCGACGACGCCAAATCCAAAGAAATCCCCAAAAACCAATAAGCCTCGAGTAAGTCGAAAAACTTTAAGAAAGCCAAGGGAAACGCGGCGGTTCAGCACTACGCTACCTCGAACTCGTGACGGGTTGACACCGTGTGAATTCGACATCGTTACGTGGCCTGAAATTTCCGTCTACACAGTTACACAGTGATTCTATCTCGCTTTACCTTCTCCAGCAATTCTCGAAGTCTGGCAAAATGCTGCGGCGTGTTGTTGATAACGAAGCCCACCTCATCCTTCTCTTCTTCATCCAGTCGCGGACAGCCTCTCCCAATCAAACCCCACCAGTCCGCCATCCGTAGACGCCGATCGCTGCGCATCCGTCCGAACGGGATGTGAATGGTGATGGGCATCCGGCCATCCGCAACTGACTTGAAGATCTGGCAGGTGAAGTTCTTCACGGTAAGCGTGTGGCAAACCGCCGCCAGCTGGTCAAAGACGCGATGTAGCGTGATGATGTAATCCACGTCATTATCTTTCAGAATATACTCGCAGTTGATGTCCTTCAACACTAGGTCCTGCGGGAATTTCTCGACGGCTCCATTGATCAGCGCGCGCAGAAAGAGCCCATCGCACAAAGGCAAATGATTCAGCCGCAGCTTCTCTTTGCAGTCATCCCGGACTGGCGAACCCACGATAGCCACCGTGCGCGTACTCCAGCAGCGATGTGCACAGGCCACAGCAATGTAGACACTGCCAGGACGAATTTCATCGGATGTGGAGGGGAACTGGATGTGCAGCAAGTTCCTGAGAGCGGCCGATGTGAGGACGCGGTTCCAGCCGCTGCACACCGTCCACAAACGGCACTGATCAACCGTGGGCAGGGACTGTAGGATCTCCGTTAAGATCTCCACCGTCAGGAAGCGGATTACGCTGTCCTCGTTAAGAACCGGCGCGGGCACCACAACTACCCGAGCTGGTGACGGGGAGCGGCCGCCACAGGGCAGGAAAGCCGTCCACCATTTCTCCTTGGCCCGATAACCGTTCTGGCGTTCTTGCTGCTTCCCGCTCGTGGGTGCAGCGCTCTCAACAGGGCGGAGCACGGATTTATTCTGCAACAGCAGCGTAATTGACCAGATTATCATTTCCGGCACAGTAAAGGCAGTAAAGATGGTTTACGTAAAACAGATGGTTTTCTAAACTAAAGTTTTCCATGCGGCGCGCTTCCATCGTCTCGAGCAATCCGTTGGCCAAGGAAACCATTGAAGCCGGGCGGCGAATGCGGTTTCGAGGAACGACGGTTCTGATGAATCCGCCGGGCAAGAAGATGGCGACCCAGGCGAACTGACCGTGTTGCCGGTCGTAAACGAGGACGCCGGCTGGTTGCCATGTCCACGGCTCTGACGGACTGCGCTGCATCAGCACCTCCACGGGATCCGCGATCCCTATTACCATCAACATCATAAGAAATCGTTTCTGACTAATATACGCATTTGTCAGCCCTCTGTAACCGGCAAGGAGAAACCTTCGGGGACCTAAGTTAGCGCATGCCAAAGCAGCGTCGCTAACTACCTTGATCGCCATAGAATCGGGAGCGCCTCCGTCCAGAGTACGAGTAGGCACTAATATTAGCCCAGTAGAAGAGAGCTTGGTCAAGAGGAACCCATTCGTTCCGTCGGCCCGTGCAGCGAAAATCGACGCGAAGTCCGCTGCTGGACACAGCTACGACCTTGCCGCACTGCTTCGCTCTATCTCCTCCACGGACTTCCACCACAACAGCGATGTCCTCTGGATTTGTCGCCATGGACGGTTCCAGTTGGCCACTTGACATAGGCATGCTGTCGTCTATTGGACACGTCACGTTACTCTCGAGGAGCCTGCCAAAAGTAACGGGGAAGACGACGCTGTGAGATAAATAACAAAGATGAATAGCAAAGCACACCAACACTGCAATAAATTACTGTATTTGGACGTCCGTTAAGAAGTAAGCTCGAAGTGCCAATTTTGTGGAATATCCCATGCAACATGAAGTCGTACGTTAGTACTCGTACATATATACACGTTTCCTAAGCCACTCATAAAAAAGGACGCAGAATGGTTTTCAGAGTCAGTGTGATTCTATGCGCTGTAAGGGCGGGTTTACGACTTTACGTATAGCTATGAGCCTATAACTCCTGCCCATCTGACTTGCTATTCGCTGCATTTCAGCGGATTTTCACGCCCGCATTTTCAAGCTTCTTCAACGGATCTGCAGCACAGTTGCACCACCTGCTCGGTTTTTGGTGAGACGACAGCATCGTCAATAAAGTCCCTGTTTCCGAATCGTTCTGTCGAGGATTCGTGTGGCGCCCGTAAGGCTCCACCTTATAGCGTTGTAAATAAGTTTAGCACGATACGATAAAGATGCTACGCTTTGTTTATGGATGTTTCCTTGCCACCGTCTCCTCCTTGGGTCACGCACACGACAACACGAGTACACAACCAATTATTGCCTGAACTTGAGTTTAAACCTGGATGCTTCGCTATTCAATTGTTCCGTTTTACGGATGACAGTTAGTTCCAGAAGGGTTCATGAAAAATGCTAAACACAAAAAAGCGTAACAAATCACCGTACGACTGAGTCACAGCAACAACACTTCCTTTATCGCGAACACTACCTATTTTATTCAATAGCTAATCGAATACGTACCGAGATCCTCAAGATGCAATCTAAAGTCTCCTGCTTTTGTTCCTGTTTCTTGCTTTTGTCTATACGTACACTTTTTTTCCGGTGCTGTATCGGCGTTCATCCACGACCATTACAGATCAGTAATGTTTTGATAAATTACAGTAATTTCACCATATCGGTCAGATTCTCGATGTTTCTTCAGTGATCAAATTTATATCAACCTTATAGCTGTGCCGCGATTCCGCGCATATGTTCAGTTTTGTTTGTTAGTAACCGATGACACTCGCATTTCCCCCGAAGTTTATGGATGTTAGTCCAACAAATTCCTTTTCAATTCAATGTAACCTTGATTACTGACTTTTACGCGGGCGCCGTTAGCATTAGTGAAGAGTTTTTAAATTGACATGACATGAATGCATTACGAGTACACATACAACAACTCAGTGCAGGTTAATTCAACAAAGTCCACCGGTCTCACGGTGTGGCTTCCAATGAAAAGCATGCTGGATGGGAAAAGATTAAGGAGGCTACGCGGTGGGCCAGGTCACAGTGCAGTTGAACGTCGTTCGGGAAATAGCACAGTACATGAGATACTGCGTTAGTCGTGTCAGCCGGTTGAAATCGACGAAACCCAGCTGTGCTACTGGAGACGGCTTCAGATACGTGATGCTCTTTCGAGTATCGTTGGTCTGCCACGCCCGGACGATCTGCAAAGCATTACACCCATCAGCTGAACGGTACGTCGAAATTGTGGCAAACGGCGCTACTGGAGATAAGTTTTACGCTTTCCCCAGAGCCATTTGGTCACCGGCAGGAATCCTAAGAAAAGTCGAAGAAGCAATCCAGAAACAACCTGGGACCCCAAACCAAAAGAAATCCAAAAAAAACCAAGAACCCTAAGGATGCCAACGAACGCTTAAAGAAAGAGAACGAACCCTTAAAGAAAGAGAAGGTTCAGCAAAACGGTAGCTGGACTTCGTGACGGGCCGACATCGTGTTTCGTCGACCAAGTGAGTAGTGACGATTTGAGAAATTTCCGCCGCCCTACCCTGTCCCACTCTATCGTTCCTTACCAGCCTCAACAATCCCCGAAGCCACTCAGAATGCTTTATCTTCTTTTTGATAAAGCCGGACACCACACTCTTCTGCCCTTCATTCAACAGCGGACAGCCTTCCTCAATCATGTTCCACCAATCCGCGACCGTCAGACGTCGATCCCAGCGCATCTGCCCGAACGGGATTTGAATAACGATTCGTACCCAGCCATCCTCATCACAATTGCAGATCTCGCAGGTGAAGTTCTTCACGGTTAGGATACCACAGATCGCCGCCAGCTGGTCAAATACCCGGTAGAGCGCGATGAGGAATCCACGGCGTTAATTTCCAGAACATACATGCAGTTAATGTCCTTAATCACAATGTCCTCAGGGACCCTCGCGGAGTCGTCTTGGATCAGTGCACGACGCAGAAAGAGTCCATCACACAAAGGCAAATGGTTCAGCCGCAGTTTCGCCTCGGAACCACCCTGGACCGGCGAACCCACAATGGCCACGATGCGGATACTCCAGCAGCGATGTGCACAGGCCGCAGCGATGTACACACTGCCAGCGGACAAGGAGCAATCGCTTTTGGATGGGAACTGGATGTGCAGCAGGTTCCTGGCGGCGGCCGCTGTGAGGAGACGGTTCCAGACGGCGCACACCGCTCGCATTCGGCACTGATCAACGGTTGGCATAGAATACAAGGCCTCCGTCAGGATTTCCATGGGAAGGACGCGGAAGGCGCAGCCAGCGTCAAAAACCGGCGCTGGTGGTACAATTTCCAGCGTTGGTGGCACGAGTTCCAGCGCGGGTGACGTAGAGCGGCCGCCGCAGGCCAAGAACACCTTCCACCATTTTTCCGTGGCATCGCAACAGTCCGCCGGTTTCTGTTGCTTTCGGCCCGTGGGGTAGTACTGGCTTTCGCGGCCACCACAGCACGGTTTTTCTCTGCAATAGTAAAATACGCTGCGTAACCAACCAAATTCTCTCCGACACACTTAGCCAGTTAGCCCAGTAAAGATTGTCGAATGATTTACATAAAACAGACGATTTTCTTCAGTGAAGTTTTCCATATGGCGCAATTCAATCAGTTCGGGTAATCCGTAGGCCAGGGAAAACCATGGGAGCAGGGCATCTAATACGGTCGCGCGGGACGACGGTTCGGACGTCCCCGCCGGGTAAGCGGATGGCGACCCAGGCGAATTGATTGTCCTGCCGGTCATAAACGAGGACGGTGGCCGGATGCCATTTCCACGGCTCCGAGGGAGTGCGCTGCATCAGCACCTCCACGGGATCCGCGATCCCTACAACCATCCACGCAAAGTTGACTTTATGTGCATTGCTTAAAATGAATTAATAAATTCAGAATAAATTACAAGGAACCATTTCCAGCCTTGAATGCGCCTTTCTGGAACCAGACTGTGCCATCACGAAGCATACAGAGCAGAAGAATTCTGCTTATAATGACCATGAAATGGCGTGATCAGCGTTAAAAATAATGTCACCAACAAGAGTCGCTAAGGAGACTTTTACAAAATGGTACCTTGATCGCCATAGAATCGGGAGCGCATAGGTCGAGGATAAGAGTAAGCACTGACATTCGCCCAGTACAAGGAAGCCTGATCCAGAAAAACCCACTCGTTCCGTCGGTCCGTGCATCGAAAATCCACGAGCAGTCCGCTGCTGGACGCAGCTACTACTTTGCCCCACTGGAGGACTCCATCTTCTCCACGGACTTCCACAACAATAGTAAAATTATCTCCCGTCTTCGCCATTGACGGTTGCAACTGGCCACTGAACATGCGCAACTTGTCGTCTGTTGGGCACACGTAATGTTCCTGACGGGAAACCTACCGCAAGTAACTGAGGTTCTTTATGAAGTTATAACCCAATGTATAACAGCACTGTGCGAAATATTCGCCAAGACAGTTGCTATTAAGAAAGCATAATGGTGCTAAGATGGTTGCAAACCGCTCAAATACTGCAACCACTACACTGCTTAGACGAGAATAAAAATCGTATCCCTGCCAGACAGAGCACCTGGATATATCTGTAGATGCGATGGCGATGCCACGTCTTGTGGTCACATGATCCGCTTAAGAGGACAGAATCGATTGCCTGAACGATAACTGGACAGTAGCCAGTAGGTATCCCAGAGTAAACATACACCTATGAGTCACCTGACGATCTTTGCAACTTTCTAATATCCTTGGAATGCTCACTGTGCGGCGGTACGCTATCTGCCGGCGCTGCATCGACACTGATCCCGGACCGATCATGTTACCATATGGTCAGATTCTCGGTGTTTCTTCAGTGGTTAAACTTTTAACTTTTTGCTATTTTACGCAATAATCCCGCGCATTCTGCTGCTTTGTTTGCTAGTAACCCACGACGCTCGCATTTCCCCCCGAGGTTTATGGATGCAAGTCCAACAAATTTCTTTTCAATTCTATGTTACCTTGATTATAGACTTTTAGGCGGGCGCAGTTAGCATTTGAGAAGAGTTTGCAAAATTAGCATGAGAAGAATGCATTACAGAAACAACAAAGTTAGCGCTGGTTAGTCCAACAAAAGTTCGCCCGTCTCCTTAAGTTCCTTCAATGAAAGGTCCACGGGATGGAAGGAAGTTAGGCAGGCCAAGTCACGGTGCTCTTGAACGGCGTGTGGGTAACGGCACAGTACACGAGATACTGCGTCAGCCGTGTCAGCCGGTCCACATCGACCAAACCCAGCGGGTGCTGTCCTGCGGCTGGAGCCGGCTTCAAATACGTGACCTTCTTTCGGGGGTCGTTAGTCTGCCGCGCACGAACGATCTGTGAAGCATTACACATATTAACTCAACAGTACGTCTGAAACGAAGCGCACAGCGGCTTCGGCAATCGGTTTTACGCTTTCTGTTATATCGCTAGGCACACTGGCATTACGTCAGCGTAGGGCTGTTTCGATCCCACGAGGTTAGCCGAAAAAACCTTTAGAAAATTTGAAGTATGAGAAGCTTGAGGGAACTAAAGCTCAAGGAACATAAAACATCAAGAAAACCTAAGAAAAGACCGGAAAAAGTCGTAGCCCAAAGAAATCGAGAAAACCCAGAGAAAGCCTAACAGCCGCAAGGAAACCTATAAAGAAACTTTAGGAAACTTAAAATTCTAAACAATTAAGAACCTGAAGAATCTGATGCCTAAGAAAACTCTGAAAAATCAAAAATCTCAAATTCAAAGAAAAACTCAAAAGCCGCAAACCCAAAGATGCGAGAAGAAATCCTAGAACCTTAAAGAAAACCGAAGACCACTATGAAACCACAAGGAAACACGACGGTTTTGCCCAACGCCATCTCGATTTCGCCCGATTTAGTGACGTTCGAGAAATTGTCTTTACGAACTGGCGCGTTATAATTTCTTACTCTACCTTCCTTACCGTTCTCAACACTTCCCGAAACCTCTCAGAATGCTGTTGCCTCTTTTTGATAAAGCCGGACACCACAAGCTCCTGCTCTTTATCCAGCCGCGGACAGCCTTCCTCATTCATGTTCCACCAGTCCGCGACCGTAAGACACCGCTCGCTGTGCATTCGTCCGAACGGGATGTGGTCCATGTGGATAGTGATTCGCACCCAGCCATCTTCCGTAGAATCGAAGATCTCGCAAGTGAAATTCTTCACAGTCAGCGTGTGGCAAATCGCCGCCAGCTTGTCAAAGACGCGGTGGAGTGTAATGATGTAATCCACAGCATTATCTTCCAGAACATACATGCAGTTAATATCCTTAATCACGAGGTCCTCCGGGAACCTCTCGACGGCTCCTTGGATTAGCATAAGCAGGAAGCGTCCATCACACAATGGCAAGTAATTCAGTCGCAGTTTCTCCTCGAACCCACCCTGGACCGGCGAACCCACAACGGCCACAGTTCGGGTACTCCAGCAACGATGCGCACAGGCCACAGCGATGTAAACCCTGCCCGCGGACGATGAGCAATCGCTTTTGGATGGAAACTGGATGTGCAGTAGGTTCCTGGCGGCGGCCGCTGTGAGGAGGCGGTTCCAGACGACGCACACCGCCCGCACTCGGCACTGATCAACGGTTGGCAGCGAATACAAGGTCTCCGTTAGGATTTCTAACGGCAGGACGCGGAAGGCGCGGCCAGCGTCAAAAACCGGCGCAGGCAGCGCAGCCATCAGCGCTGGTGATGCGGAGCTGCCGCCGCAGGCCAAAAACACCTTCCACCATTTTTGCGTGGCCAAGCAACCGTCCGCAGGTTCCTGCTGCTTTCCGCTCGTGGGTGTAGTGCTGGCATTCGCGGCCGCCACAGGACGGAGCACGGATTTATTCTGCAAAAGACAAAACTCCCAATAATTCCACTCCGGTACATTAAGCGCAATGAAGATTCTTGAATGGTTTACATAAAACAGATGATTTTCCGCGGCATGGGAGCCTCCCATGCCGCGCAATTCCATCAGATGGAGCAATCCATAGTCCAAGGAAATCATGTGAGCACGGCGTCGAATGCGGTTGCGCGGAACGACGGTTCTGATGTCCTTGCCGGGCAAGTGGATTGCGACCCGGGCGAACTGACCGTGCTGCCGGTCGTAAACGAGGACGGAGCCCGGATGCCATTTCCACGGCTCATTGGAACTGCGCTGCATCAGCACCTCCACGGGGTCTGCGATTCCTACAACCATCCACTTAATATTGGCTTTCTCTGAATCATTCAAAGGCATGGAACCAAACTTATGAAAAATCAAAAGACCTGTCTCTCGATGCATACAGTGTGGAATAGGCGATAGTGCGTGTTAAGCACATGATGTCACCAGTGAACGTCGCTAAAGAGTTTGTCAAAATTTTACCTTGATCGCTGTAGAATCGGCTGCCCATTGGGCCAGAATAAGAGTAGGCACTGACAGGATCCCAGTACATGGAGGCTTGATCGAGAGGCATCCACTCGTTCCGTCGGTCCGTGCAGCGAAAATCTCCGATCAGTCCGCTGCTGGACGCGGCTACTACTTTGCCGCACTGGGACACTCCATCCCCTCCACGAACTTCCACAACAACAGCCAAAGCATCTCCAGTCTCCGCCATTGGCGGTTCCAGTTCGCCATTTGACGAGTAGATTCACGAGGAACACACGGATTGTTCCTCACGGGAAACTTGCCGACAATAACTGCGAGGACGTCGTTATGAATTCTCGCACATGGCACACTAGCACTGTGCGAAATATTCGCAAAGACGAATGCTGTTAAGCTAACGTTAACATAAAGGTGCTAGCACCGTTTCAATACAACAGGAACCGGTGACACGGTTAGACGTGACAAAAATTTTCATAAATCAGCGAGACAGAGCACTTGGATGTAGATGACGCCATGCCTTGATCGCGGCTCTTTCATATTTAAATCGTACTCGTACAATCTTGTCCGGTAATTTCCTTCCTTAGGGTACAACTAGCGCGATGTCTGCGCCTAAAACGATGGTCACTTCACCACGTTTATAGGGTTGCCCAAATGCGCTCCGCAGTTAAATTGTCCATTACAGCACCGACTGTTTTCCAGCCACATTCCGCCAGGCAGTTACAGTACTACGATTCTCATTTACGATTAATTATCTTGCGTGCATCAGGCGACCACACATACCATGTGAACGCTAGCACTTTCAGTTTTCGCAAGAGGTGGGCATTGCCACCTGCTGTTCTGCCAACTTCTCCCTCGGTAGCGCACACGAGAATAACCGTTTTCTGCTTGAACATGGTTTGGAATTCGGACGTTGCGGTAAATACAACGTGCCAATCCAGTAGCGAAGCGCACAGGCTACAGTGACCTGACAATGCCCGCGGGAAATAAATCTGGAGAATCGAAATCAGCAGCGGATGGGAACTGGATGTGCACAAGACGTTTGGCAGCGGCCTCTAAGCAGGGCGCCATCCACTGGAAACCGAGAAGCTGCCGAAAAATGCACCGATGGGGGAATCGAACCCCGGCTACGTCGTTAGATCCGCGTAGGCAGTACCACTGCACCACGGCGCAATACGTGGAAATCCTTTGAAAGATTTTGTCGCTGTATGTGAGCCGCTTCTCTCCTCACAGGCCGATATAAGAGAACAGTTCCAGTCGGCGGCTCAACGGTGTGCAGACATTGCAAGGTCCCCGAGTCCGTGCTAGCAAATGATGACACTGTCGGTCGGGCTTCCCCACGGGATTTATTCATTTCCACAACAACCTTATTTGCCGTTCAGTTGAGCTTAATAACAGACATTTAGGCGTGCGCTGTTAGCACTTGTAAAATTGTTAGATTTAAACTGACATGACACGAATGCATTACAAATAACAAGCAGGTTAATGCGGGTAATGCAGGTTAATTCAACAAAAGTCCGCCGGTCTCACTTAGTTGCTTCCAGTTGAATGTCCGCGGGAAGAAAGTTAAGCAGCAGGCCAAGTCACAGTGCAGTTGAAGGTCGCCTTGGTTATTGCACAATACATGAGATTCTGCGCCAGTCGTGTCAGCCGGTTCACATCCACGAAATCCAGCGGGTGCGGTCCTGCTGGAGACGGCTTCAAATACGTGACACTCTTCCGTGGATTGTTAGTCTGCCGTGCCCAGATAATCTGTGAATGTGTTACACTCGTTAACCGAACGCTGCATCAAACTTGTGGCAACCAGCGCTGCTGGAGATTTATTTTGCGCTTTTCCTCATAGTGATGGCTCATCGACATTTTTTTTGTCCACTCACAAGTCGGCCACCACCATGAGAGCCACGACTAAGAAAACTAGGAAGAAATTACTTAAGACTAACAAGCTTAAAAAAAACCTAAAAAAAGTGGGGAGCCACGAAAATAGCGATGGTTTATTTATGCACTAGCTCGATGTCGTGACGGACAGACACATATTGGACGACTTTTTGTCGACGAATTGGCGTGACACCATCAAAAGGCACTACGTCGACGTAGACTGCGTCGATTGCCCTAAGGGCGGGACCCCACGAAGCCGACCGTCAACAGGGCGAAGACAAAAAAGCCTCATGGACCGTAGGAAACTTATGAGTCTAAGAAACCTAAAAAATAAGAACTAAGAAACCTAAGACATCTGATAAATCAGAAACTTTCGAAAAGTGTGACCACCTAGAAAGCCTTAAGTCAAAGAACCGATGAAAATCACGAAAGCATAAGCAAGCTTAAGAAACCACAGAAAACTTTCAAAAATCATTAATCCATAAGGAGCCAAGGGGAACTACGACGGTTCTGCATACGCTAGCTCGGCTCTGTAATTTTTCGACTTAGCGACGTCAGCAAACGTCTGTCTTCGAAGTGGCGCGAAACCCTATGTCACTCTACCGTCTTTACCATTTTCAGGTTTTCCTGAAGTTCGGCAGAACATGAATGCCGTTTCCTGATCGCACAGCGCACCACTCCTTTCTGCTTGTCATTCAGCCGCGGACATCCTTGCTCAATCATTCGCCACCAGCCGGTAAGCGTCAGACACCAGTCGCGCATCCGTCCAAACGGGATGCGGATGGTGAAGGGAACCCCGCCATCCAAAACCGACTGGAAGATCTCGCAGGTAAAGTTCTTCACGGTCAGCTTATCACCGACCGCCGCTAGGGAGTCAAACACTCGGTGGAACGTGACGATGTAATCTTTGGCTCTATCATCAGGAATATACATGCAGTTAATGTCTTTCAGCACCAGATCCTTCGGGTAGTTGTTCATCAGCGCGCGCAGAAAGAGTCCATCACATAAAGGCAAATAATTAATCGACAGTTTCTCGTTGCAGTTATCCCGGGCTGGCGAACCCACGATGCCCACTACGCCAGAACTCCAACAACGATGTGCACAGGCCACAGCGATGTAAACACTTCCGGCGGACGATGAGCATTCGCTTTTGGATGGGAAATGGATGTGCAGTAGGTTCCTGACGGCGGCCGCTGTGAGGAGGCGGTTCCAGCCGGTGCACACCGTCCGCAGCCGGCACTGGTCAACGGTCGGCAGGGAATACAAGGTCTCCGTAATAATTTCCACCGGCAGAACCCGGAATGCGCGGCCCTCGTCGAGAACTGGCGCCGGTGGCACAATTTTCAAAGCTGGGGAAGTGGAGCGGCCGCAGCAGGCCAAGAGACCCTTCCACCATGTTTCCGCGACCCGGCAACCGTCTTCGGGTCCGTGCTGCTTCACGCTCTTGGGTGTGGTGCTGGCTTTCGCGGCCGCCAAAGGGCTAAGCACCGTTTTATTCTGAAATAGTAAAATACATGCAGAAAAAAATATCCGCTCCGGCACATTAGGAGTGAATAGTGATAAAGATTGTGGAATGGCTTACATAAAACAGACGGTTTTCTAAATTGAAGGTTTCCATTTTGCGCTCTTCCACCAATTCAAGCAATCCGTAGGTCATGAGCACCTTTAAACCACACCGTCGAATACGGTCTCGCGGAACGACGGCTTTGACGTCCCTGCCGGACAAATGGAATTTGACCCAGGCGAACTGATTGTGCTGCCGGTCATAAACAAGGATGGTGGCCGGATGCCATTTCCAAGGCTCCGCGGGACTGTGCTGCATCAGCACCTCCACGGAATCCATGATCACTGCAACCATTAACGTAACAATGACTCTCTGTGCACTGTTTCCACTGTACTAAGGAATTCAGAATAAATTTCAAGGAACCATTTTCGGCTCTCTGGAAGCAACCTGTGCCATCGCGACGCACACAGAAATAGAAGAACTGCGAATTACGTGAAATGGTGCGAACGCAAGTAAAAGCTAATGTCACCAGCAGGCGTCGCTGAGGAGATTTTGTACAAAGTAGTACATTGGAAACAGTGCACAAACCTTGATCGGCATAGAACCTGGAGCGAGTCCATCGAGGATAAGAGTAAGCACTGACAGGATCCCAGTACATGGAAGCTTGGTCGAGAGGAACCCACTCGTTCCGTCGGTCCGTGCATCGAAAATCCACGAGTAGTCCGCTGCTGGACGCGGCTACTACTTTGCCGCACTGGAATATTCCATCACGTCCACGAACTTCCACCACAACTGCGATGTCCTCCGGAATCTCCGCCATTGACGTTTCCCGTTGGCCGCTGAACATACGCAGATTGTCGCCTGTGGAGTACACCGCACACGGAATGTTCCTCCCGCGAAGCTTGCTGGAAATAACGACGAGGACCCGTAGTGAAACCCTAACCCAAGGTACAGTACGCTAGCGAAATATTCGCCAAGACGGCTGCTGTCAAAAAAAGCACAAAAGTGCTAAGTTGGCTGAACTCCGTTAATCTACTGTGCAGCTGGAACCGATCCATGGCTACTGGCAAGACGTGATAAAATTTCATATCCCTGCCAGATAAAGCACCCGGATATAGATGCCATGCTACGCCTTGTTCACGGCTATAATGCAATTTTATATTTAGATGATTTTAGATTGTACTCGCACCGCGCACGCAGCTGCAAAGAGGTTTATTTGCGCGTGTTCCAGAAAGCATGCACTTTCTGTCGGTAATGTATATACACTAATCCATGTCCATTAATTGTACCACGAGTGATAAGAGTCTCGGTGTTCTTTCAGTGTTTAAAGTTTAAAGATCGGATGCAGGTCTCCGTCTGCGTGGTAGTAAACGATGACGTTGATCGAGCTTCTCCGCAGAATTTATTTATTTTCCCCCACAACATTATTTGCAGTTCAGTGTAGCCTTAACAACAAGTACTCAGCTGTGCGCTGTTAGCGATTGAGAATGTTAGATTTAAATTGACATGACACGAATTCATTACAAGTAACAAGTTAATGAAAGTTAGTTCAATAAAAGTCCGCCGGTTTCCCTTAGCTGCTTCTAGTTAGAGGTCCGCGGGATGGAAGGAAGCAACGCAGTGGGCCAGGTGACATTGCAGGTGAATGGCGTGTTGGTTATGGCACAATACAGGAGATACGCCGTCAGTCGTGTCAGCCGGTTCACATCGACGAAATCCAGGGCATTCTCTCCTGTCGGAAACGGCTTCAAATATGTGACACCCTTTCGGGGGTCGTTCGTCTGCCGCGCACGGATAATCTGCCAAGCGTTACACCCGTCAAACACCCGGTATGTCAAACATATGTGGCAAGCAGCGCCGCTGGGAATGCGTTGTACGCTTTGACTCTCCACTTTCGTCGACGAAAACTATTCTACGTCGAATAGGCAGGATGTCGACTCGTCACGAAGTCGTACTAGCGTTTTGCTAAACCGTCTTTAGTTTTGTTGAGTTTTCTTCAATTTCTTAGTTTTCTTAGGTACCTTGGTTACTTGAGCCATAGGTTTCTCAGCCGTGGCGCGAAGAAACGCTCAATAAACATAAAAACTTTCGTAAACTAAGACGACTAAGAACAACCTAAGAGAATCGGGAAACCCTAGTAACAGCCGGAAAACGTAAACAGCCCTAATCAATTGATCGAAAACGGGGAATCGTTAACGAAATTAAAGAATTCTAGAAGACCCTACTAGGAACCTATGGCAGTTAAGGCAAACACTAGCTCCACTTCGCGACGAGTGAATACCGTGTTTGTTCGACTTGGCGACGATTCCGAAACTGCCGTGTACGAAATGGCGCGCCACTGCTTTATCTATCACTGTACCTTCCTAAGTAACGACCGAATCTTGACGGAATGCAATTTCCGCTTCCAGATCGCGCAGAACACCACCCGTTTCTGCTCCTCATCCAGCAGTGGACAGCCTTTCTCAATCATCTCCCACCAGTCAACGACCGTCGGACGCCAGTCGCGGCGCATCCGTCCGAACGGGATATGTATGGTGATCGGCAGCCGGACATCCTGAACCGACTGGAAGATCTCGCAAGTGAAGTTCTTGACGGTCAGCGTGTGACAAACCGCTGCCAGCTGGTCAAATACGCGCTGGAGTGTAAGGATGTAATCCACGGCAGTATCTTCCAGAACATACTGACAGTTAATGTTCTGCAACACCAGGTCGTGCGGGAACTTCTCGACGGCTCCTTCGATCAGCGTGTGCAGAAAGCGTCCATCACACAAGGGCAACTCGTTCAGTCGGAGTTTCTCCTGGGAATCACCCTGGACTGGCGAACCCTTAACGGCCACCACGCGATTACTCCAGCAGCGATGTGCACAGGCCACAGCGATGTACACCGAGCACGGACCATCTAAATCGCTTTTGGATGGGAACTCGATGTGCAGCAGACTTTGAACGGCGGTCGATTTGAGTAGACGGTTCCAGACGGTGCACACCGCGCGCAACCGGCACTGGTCAACGGTCGGCAGACACTGCAGGGTCTCCGTCAGGATCTCCATGGGAAGGAGGCGAAATGCTCTACCAGGAGCAGGCACCATACTTTTCGGCGCTGGTGATGTAGAGCGGCCGCAACAGGCCAGGAAAACCTTCCACCATTTTTTCGTGGCCAGATAATCGCCCGCGGGCCTTGGCTTCTTGTCCTTCGTGGAACAAGCGCTTGTTGTCTCCGCTGCCAAAGGCCGGAGCACCGATTCATTCTGAAAAAACAAGAAATAAATGTAACAAACCAATAATTCCCTTCTGGCACAGTAATCGCATAACTAATGTACATAAAACTGAAGATTGTCCTTCACGTAGCCTGATTCCGGTATTTCGTGCAGTTTCCAGGACCAGGGAGCCATGACATTCGGGTGTCGGATACGGTCGAGGCGAACGATGCTTCTGACGTCGCCGCTGGACAAGTAGATGACGGCCAGACCGAACTGGCCGTACTGCCGATCATGGACGAGGAGGGTCGCCGGCTGCCATGTCCACGGCTCCGACGGACTGCGCTGCATCAGCACCTCCACAGGATTCGCGATTTCTGCAACCATCAGCCTCATAAAGATATTATCCTGATGGTTTTGAAGAAATCCCGTTCTTTTCGTCACAAGAAAGGACTTTCTCTGCACCACTTCTGCTGTACTGATAAAAAATAAAGAATAAGCTACAAAAAACATTCTGAACTAAAAAGATGCCAAACCCAACCGATCGTCCATCCACGAAGCTGATACAGAATGGAAAAATGCGATGTAAATCCAATGTGAATTAATGCGTGCCAAGCCGTTACTTCGTGTCACAAATACATGTCAGCAGGATGTTTTATCATGGTTACCTGGATCACCATAAAATCCAGAGCGCATCGGTCGATGCTGAGACTAAGAAGACTCAGAAGGTACGGACAAAAAAGCCTGATCAAAGGGAACCCATTCCTTTCGTCGGTCCGCGCATCGAAAATCCACGATGAGTCCGTTGCTGGACACGGCCACCACACTGCCGCACTGGAGCACTCCATCGCCACCACGGACTTCCACAACCACAGCGGAATCCTCCCCATTCTTCGCCATTGACGGTGTCCGTTTGTCACTTGACACCAGCACGTAATTGCACGTTGTAACTGTGACGACGTTGGTGTGAAATTCCAGCCACTGGTTGACTGTTCCCAGTCGTAGTCAAGCGACCGCGGTTACGGGAACATGAAGGTTTTAAGAGTGTTGCACATCGATAAATTTAGCAGGAGCCTGTACACCACTAGAAGTGACGAGGATGTTTTGAAACGAATACGATTATACGCTATACAAAGCTCCCGGATATAAAAGAGATGCTACGCTTTGGTCACGGCTATTTCACTGAGATAGTAACTACTTGTATTCAGCGTTGTAATCAGTCAGCGTTGTAATCGAACTTAGCGAAGCGATGGCTTTCTTAATTCAGAGCCATTTATTGCTATCTGTCGGTTACGAAAACCCGTTAATTTGGAGCCGGCCAAAGTGCCCTGGTAAAGAACAGTTCCGTACATGGCAGGAACAATAAGACCCAATTATGTATTTTTTTCGTTCGCAGTTATGCCGACTGGAGAAATCGATTTCGTTCTGCACATTAATTTTGTAAAGGTATCCCAAAATGTGTAGAACTACTCGGCGGCAACGTGGTGGAGAAGTGTTGCTGAATATCTCACGAAACCTCATCGAAAGTCAATCCGTCAGCGTTAGCCATCCAGAAAATTGCTTTAACGTTACACGAATATGGCACTCTTATCCTGCGAAATATCCTTAATAATTCGCAGCTTTTGTAATAATTCATCGGCTTTTATCCTGTCTGGTTTGTCATCGAAGCAAAGCAGAATGCAATGCGCCAAATCGGTCGGGATGGACTCGTCAATGTACGGCATCCATCCGTCCATTACCGCGGTCATGTATTCCGTCTCCGACATGTTGTTCGTATTTTTCACGCTTCCCGGCGTCTTAACAAGCCGTTTCTCCCGTCCGTCTAAAACGCAATCCATTAAATCCACAATAATGCAGCCCAAACTCCAAATGTCGGTTTCTCGTCCAACTGCTTCTCCGGGGAGTGGAACGCCACTAGTGCAGCGTGCCAATTCAGGAGACATGTACTGGTATGCTCCACCTGCTTCTCGAACGTCAGCACTGTTGGTGCTTTCTTGTTGGGTGTCTAGAAAATTATCCAGACCACCAATCACGACTCTGCTTTCATTCCCTGTGGAATTTATCCACATATTTTTCGGGTTAAGATGTCCGTGCGTAAATGCAATTTCATCCCGGTGCAAATAACTCAGTCCGTCGGCAATTTGGCCAGCATAGTTGATAGCTGTCTTATAATCGAGAGAACTTTGATGTACAACCGAAGCCAAATCTATAAACACAAAAATTAACATTTAAAAAATATTGAAGGATTTGAAAAACATTCGTAAACGTGAACTTTTGTTAACATCTTCTTATAAATATGACGAAGAAGATAAAATACATGGCGATTATTTAACGTAACGTATACTTCTATAACATATGATAACATATATAAAATGAATTTCCCACATTTTTAAATTAAATTCAGTAAAGACTTTCATCCAGATTTCACCGTATCGAAATTGTATAAATCCATTACCAGTGTGACGGTGATCGCAGCACTGGTTTTTTCGATGGTGACTTTATGGTACATCATCACATTATCATGCTGTAAACGGACAAGGCGTCTAAATCTGCTACACCAGCTCGCCCAGGCGTTAGTACTCAAACAGTTTCCGCCGCTTCCCGGCAGCTCGATGATTTTAATCGCCACGGTATCGTCTCCATCCAGTGCTGTGCTGCGTTGTACCACTCGGCCTTTGTACAACACTCCGCAGCGACCTCTTCCCATTCCGCACTGGCCTTTTCCTAGGAAATCCACGTAGGCATAATCGCAAGGGCAGTTCAGCGTGGTTTTATGGGCTTCGTCGACTGTGCAATATCTACACCAGACCATGGTACCAGAATATTCCTCCATATTGTTAGCATTTGTGGCAACAAAATGCCCAAATGGACTTGTGGATAAAAGTGTTCTGTGGAAATGTTACTGTAAGCGCAAGGAAGGGTGAGAGACTGAGAGATATTTCACGAAGTACCACCGCGATTCTCAGGCTTTACTGACAGCGTTGTGGAAAGCCGGAGTTGCACACTTGCAGCGGAATTGCTTGCACGCTGCAACTCGTTATCAGCCGATTGCACAAGATTTATAGAGATAAGGAACGCAGAGCGTTTACAGTTTGTAGTTGTAACTTGTACATACAACACCGGCTTCGCAACCTGCCTTGTAGTTGTAGCGTTAAAGAATATTTTCACACTTGCCGGATTCAAGCCTTCCACTCAATACAACTGGGGGTAGGATTACCTTTCCCTTCCCTTTGCTTTTGCCTTTTCACTTTGCCTATTTCAACTTCACCTTGCCTTTGCCGCCGCCATTACCTTACCGTTCTAATTCTGCTGTCATTGACGTGTTGCCTTACTATGCACAAAAAGTGCATGTCGGAATATAGCATCTCTATCATTTACGGTACTAACGAAAAAGAGGATTGGTGAAGTTGGACGCCGGTTAACGACTTTCTTTATTGCACTCGGTTTATAATGTTAGCATTGACCTTTTAGTCAGTCAGAGCAGTAATAAAAGGAGAATCCACGAAGAAAAAAACTAATCTATCCATTCAAAGTTAAAACAACAGCTCGGTTTATTAGAACGTCGGCTAATAAAAAACAAGAATTTTCCTGGCGGAAACCGTTGTACGTATGTACATTACCAGTACATTACATAAAAAACATATCCTTTAAGAAAACTACCGTAGGAAAATATATTTTTGTACGGATCGCTGGAAAATACCTGCTGGCTTTACATCGTCTACCAGTCGTACTCGTAGTTGTTCACGTATTTTGCAATCAGAATAAACAAAGTAATCTGCGACAGATTCTCCACGCGAAAATCCTGCAACCCATCAAAACACCATTTTTTCCCGCGGTAATGCAGCGCTGGACGCGGATCAGCTGTCTGTGTCGCGCAGAGCAACTGCAGCAAACAATATACCATATGCATATCAGTCTCGAACAATATGAGACTAGAAAACTGAAAATCGTACGAAGATGCACCCATCTAGCAAAAATTACAACCGCTGCACACTACTTCAGACATATAGTTAAACAAAATTTAAACATTAAAAAACAGCCACAGTATTTATCTTCGCTCTGACTGAGAGGCACCATAATTGTACCGACAAAAATTCATTCTTCAGTGGCTGCATGAAACTCTGGGAATTTTTTCCCTGCTGTTAGTGAACCGGTACACTTCATGGGTCGCAAATTCCGTATCTATGGAGAAGCCCGTTCCTCTTCACTTTCCTTAAACAGCATTTTTGTCTAGCTACTACACAGTAACGTTGCGGCTGCTTTAAGTACGTTACGTTTTGACCCGAGAGAAGACTGACTGTAACAACCAGTTAACTGCTGCGCTTACCTCGCAGGCAGAGATGGCGCGACGACCAGCATCACGCATACTGGTTAGCCAATCAGCCAGCTGTCGCAGCTCCTCCGGCGTGGGCTCCGGAAAATCCTTCTCGAATGCCTCCCACATCGCAATTTCCAACGCACTGATCGGCATACGACACAGAGATACCTTAGCTCTTATTTCCTTGCTGGGGACACTGTACCAGAAGTCTCTATCGTTCAGCTGGATCTCGGAGTCGATCCAGTGCAGGGCTTCACACGGTACACTGCGGCACACGGCGAGGAAATCCTCCAGACGCAGCTCGTGGTCGTATCCGCTGTCGTCACCGGCTGCAACCACCGCAGACCGGTGAAGCCAACAGCTGGGAAACCCGCGGCGGCTACCAATACCGAAAGCGCAACGCAACCCCACCAAATAGATGGTGTCCAGTCGAACGCCGGGTTTATGCTGAGCAATACAACGGATCATGTCCAGCACTTTAAAGATGACAAGGTCATCTCGGATCCATCCCTTCCGATTGTCAACGATGATGCGTTTCGTGGAACCAGTCAAACACTGACAGATGGGCGATACTAGTGTGTAGAGAATTTGCTGACACATGACGTGCCTGTGGTTAGCCGACATTGTTACATGAAGCGTGCCAGCCAATAACGGAGAAGATAAGATGTCCCTCCACAGTGGGCACACCGCGCGCAGCTTGGTCTGCGTGAATGTGTTCAGATGGGAGAAGAAGTCCAGCCACAATTCCGTTGGCAACAGATTTGCATTTTCTGTGTCCGGGATCGCAGGTCTGGAAATAAGAAACCAGTATGGAGACCTTCCGCGGAGCACCCCACTGATCTGATCCACCTGAAAAGCCGAAATCGTAGACCACATATTGTCGAACAGAAACGGTCGACCCGCCAGCAATTCCAGCTTATATGCTAAACGACTCTACTTTTCAGGTTCCATAGGTTTATTTAGATTTGCTTAGGATTCTTGGTTTTCTTACTTTTCTTAAGTTTTTAGGTTCTAGCTTTTCTCAGGTGTCTTAGATTTTCTTAGGTTTTCTTTGTGATGATCAACGACAATTGTGTTCGTCGAAAAAAACCGTTCGAACCTCTTGCATCACTAACGGCTGTATAGTTACGTTTTTCCCACTTACGATAGTGTCGAAAGGAAATGTTTCCTCTGGTACTGGGGCATGGCAGCGCCGAATGAGCCACAGATGTCCATCGACAACAGCCGTCAATACCACCGACCACTTACTCAGTAGACTGCCTATTTCGTTGTTCAATTGTTGTCGCAGTGCGTCAATTGGGATGTCAGTGTAGCCGGGCGGAAGCTGTACAGCATGCTTTGTAAACGTCGCATTTCCAACGCGAACTGGGACAACGCCAGTTTCCTTCCGCGAGAACGCGGACATCGGTTGTCCTTCACCGCTAGACGATCTTTCACGGATTCGATCGAAATGGATAATATCTATGCGGGGCCGCACACTTCCCCACCGAACTGCCACCACATGAAGGACATGTACCAGCGGACCGCACCCGGCCACCAGCATTTCACCAGGATACCAGATCCACGGCGACCCGGGCTCGTCACGCATCAGTACTTCGACCGGGATGGTAGTATCGTTACATTCGCTAGCGACACCTACAATGGAAAGGCCTCTCGAGTTGTTGGGAAGAAAGACATCGCTGTCGAATGTGAAGAACTGCCGTCGCTGGTTGTCGCAGAAGAAGTCCACGAAGATCCCGTTGTCAGTTACGTCCTCTACCCGCCCGTAGCGAACGAGTCCGTCGCCGCCGAGCACGTCGACGCTGTTTGGTTGGTAGATTCCCTCGGCCATCTCCACAGCGGTATTAGAGCAACCGACGTCGTGCTAGCTGGAATTTCTTACTAGCCTTAAGAATAAATAAAATATACTACGTACTGATGCATTGAAGTGGGACGAAAACCATCATATGTTGAAGAGCGACACGAATTTTACGAGTAGACAGGAAGGCCACAAAGTTGATACTCGTAACTCGTAAACAACAGATCCTCACAGAAATTCAACGCAAACTTTCCGTGGCTGGACTCAGTGCCAAGCCATAGAGCATACCATGACACGCTACGCCCTGCTACATTCTGACTATGCTGAACTGAGTCAACTGAGCACAATCAGAACGTACTTGACTACTTGGCTTGTTCACGGCTTCCACTAATTCATTCTTAGAGAACAAAAAACTCAGTTTCAGACATTTACGCGAATATAGTTCTATCCGCAAAAGCACTATAACCGTGGACCAAGAATGAGTCCAGGACGGAAGCCCAGACTGACAGGACTCCGTGTAGTGTAGAACGTGACGTGTTAGAGGAAGAAATGCACAACGCACGATATCCAGTCTACGTTATACACTTTATTAACGTTCTCTATCGTGAAAACCAACACTCTGACATTCAGTCAACTCAGAGAGCCAAATTCCACCTGCTCTCGACAACTCTAATGCACTGCGCAGCAGTGAACACAATGAACGGCAGTAGCCGACCAATCAGAGAAGCGCTGCGTCACAGACGGCAATTCCCCACGGAGTAGTGCAACGAAGCACTCCCGTAGCGCCAGTAGCGTCACGCAGGTGGACGCAAGGGAGCCATCGCCTCACATGCCTCTGGGTGGGAGGCTGAGCTCCGTCGAAGCTTGATCCATTCCATTCCGCTCCGAAGGTGGTCTGTGCGCGCTCTCGTAAAAAAAAAACATCAAATTCTCTTATTCCTTCTTATATCACATGATTCCAAATGCACAATGTGAAATAAAGAGATCTGTATAAAAATACTATTCCATATAAACAGATCAACAGTTATAACAGATCAACAGAAGCAGTTAAATGAAACATGTAGACTAGGATCCTCCATTGACTCGCGTAGGTCACTGGTCCTGTCCACCGTTTTCCACATCTCTTTGGCCCATTCCGCTCCATCTTGAGCATATTGCGCAGCTTCGTGCGACTTTCATCACATCCGCTTGTAGGAATAAGGTGCGTATCGAATGTACGTCTTAGGAATACTGCTTCAGTTTTGGAATAGATGCGTATCAATTGTACGACTTTATAATGAGATCCGGTTTAAGTCATGGAGGGACGTCATATAGATAAGCGAAGTTAGTTCGCTTCCTCCCTGGTAAGATCATCTTTCTGATCGTGGATGTGCGACATCATCTGGTACAGTTAATTCAGCATAAGTCATGGAGGATCTTAGCCATTTTTCAATCGGCTTTCAAGCTCATCTCAGCTTGCCTCCCTGGTAAAGTTAATTGCGTCGCACAATCCATCTCTTCTGCCTTATTTAGAGAGCCGGCCAAATGTACCGTAGCTACTCTTAACTAAGATGAGTCGATATATAGGGATCGTTCTCGATCTTTTGACTTTTCCCCAGTATCTGAATTGTCTGCCGAATCGGTCGGGTTCATAGCAGATTCCTTTTCATCAATTGAAAGCTTCGGAATTGAACTTGATGATGACTTCGTCCATTTCGGTTCACTTCTCTGGGTGGGAGCCGAGTCCGTCTCATCATCTTTCGATTTTTCTTCCACAATTACACCTTCTTCTTGGGAAGTTACATCGGTTTTTGACCTGCCGCCGCTAGTCTTAGCTGATTTCGATGGTGGCAACAGCGATGTCTGTTGTCAACCTTTACTCCTTCCCAACTCCT